CAACGGCGCCTGAACTGCCCGTCTGCCCAGCGGCGCCTGAACTGCCCGTCTGCCCAACGGCGCCTGAACTGCCTGTCTGCCCAACGCCGTCTGAACTGTCCGTCTGCCAAGCGCTGCATAAGCCGCCCGTCTGCCATGAGCCTTCAGAGCCGTCCGCCAGACCGGAGCCGCTAAAGCCTTCCGCCAGACAGGATCAGCCAGAGCCTTCCGCCAGACAGGATCAGCCAGAGCCTTCCGCCAGACAGGATCAGCCAGAGCCTTCCGCCAGACAGGATCAGCCAGAGCCTTCCGCCAGACAGGATCAGCCAGAGCCTTCCGCCAGACAGGATCAGCCAGAGCCTTCCGCCAGACCGGATCAGCCAGAGCCTTCCGCCAGACAGGATCAGCCAGAGCCTTCGGCCAGACAGGATCAGCCAGATCCGTCAGCCTGCCATGAGCAGCCAGATTCGTCAGCCAGCCATGAGCAGCCAGATCCGTCGGCCAGCCATGAGCAGCCAGATCCGTCGGCCAGCCATGAGCAGCCAGATCCGTCGGCCAGCCATGAGCAGCCAGATCCGTCGGCCAGCCATGAGCAGCCAGATCCGTCAGCCAGCCATGAGCAGCCAGATCCGTCGGCCAGCCATGAGCAGCCAGATCCGTCGGCCAGCCATGAGCAGCCAGATCCGTCGGCCAGCCATGAGCAGCCAGATCCGTCAGCCAGCCATGAGCAGCCAGATCCGTCAGCCAGCCATGAGCAGCCAGATCCTTCAGCCAGCCATGAGCCGTTCAGCCAGGATCCGTCAGAGCCGTCCAGCCAGGATCCGCCAGAGCCAGCCAGCCAGGATCCGCCATTGAGTCAGGTGCTGCCCCTTATCCTGGTGCTGCCCCTTAGTCCGGTGCTGCCCCTTAGTCCGGTGCTGCCCCTTAGTCCGGTGCTGCCCCTTAGTCCGGTGCTGCCCCTTAGTCCGGTGCTGCCCCTTAGTCCGGTGCTGCCCCTTAGTCAGGTGCTGCCTCTTAGTCCGGTGCTGCCCCTTAAACCGGTGGGGGTCATGTGGAGGAGGCTAGGGAAGCGGGTGGTGACTAAGGTGGGGTGGGGACCACGACCAGGGCCAGAACCGCCACCGTGGACAGACGCCCACCCAGAACCTCCCCTAGACTGTATGCTGGTGCGCCCGGAGTTCGCACCTTTAGGGGGGGGTACTGTGACACTCTGGCTCCGGGACTTTTGTATTTGAGCCAGGGTGTATTTTGTTATGTTTGGTTGGGTGTTTCTAAGTGTTGTATTTCTAGGTTTGGTCAATGACTCCCAATCGGAGGTAACGAGTGTCAGCTGTCGGCTCGTTATCTCTGATTGGGAGCCATATTTATTTCTGTATGTTTTCCTGTGGGGTTTGTGGGTTTTTGTTCCAGGTTCAGTCATAGTCACTGTAGGACTTCACTATCGTCATTTGTTTGTTGTTTTCGTGGTTGCTTTTATTTAATAAAGTCATCATGTTCACTCCACGCGCTGCGTATTGGTCCGTTTCCTCAGACGATCGTGACACTCAAATTTGGACTCCAGACCAAAGGACACATTTCCACCGGTCTAATGTCCATTGCTCGTGTTTCTTGGCGAAAGCAAGTCTCTTCTTATTATTGGTGTCCTTTAGTAGTGGTTTCTTTGCAGCAATTCGACCGTGAAGGCCTGATTCACACAGTCCCCTCTGAACAGTTGATGTTGAGATGTGTCTGTGACTTGAACTCTGTGAAGCATTTATTTGGGCTGCAATTTCTGAGGCTGGTAAATCTAATGAACTTATCCTCTGCAGCAGAGGTAACTCTGGGTCTTCCATTCCTGTGACGGTCCTCATGAGAGCCAGTTTCATCATAGCGCTTGATGGTTTTTACGACTGCACTTGAAGAAACTGTCAAAGGTCTTGAAATGTTCCGTATTGACTGACCTTCATGTCTTAAAGTAATGATGGACTGTCGTTTCTCTTTGCTTATTTGAGCTGTTCCTGCCATAATATGGACTTGGTCTTTTACCAAATAGGGCTATCTTCTGTATACCCCCCTACCTTGTCACAACACAACTGATTGGCTCCAACGCATTAAGAAGGAAATAAATTCCATAAATTAACTTTTAACAAGGCACACCTGTTAATTGAAATGAATTCCAGGTGACTACCTCATGAAGCTGGTTGAGAGAATGACAAGAGTGTTTAAAGCTGTCATCAAGGGTGGCTATTTGAAGAATCTCAAATCTCAAATATATTTTGATTTGTTTAACCATTTTTTGGTTACTACATGATTCCGTATGTGTTATTTCATAGTTTTGATGTCTTCACTATTATTCTACAATGTAGAAAATAGTAAAAAATTAAGAAAAACCATTGAATTAGTAGGTGTCTCCAAACTTTTACCTGGTACTATATATATTTTTTTTATATATTTTCCTTCTTTATTATTTTCCCCTAACCCTACCACCCCTCCCTAATTGGAGTAAACTAATGGACAACAACTCTTAGGCTTCTAAGCTTATACATACTACAGTGGGGAAAAAAAGTATTTAGTCAGCCACCAATTGTGCAAGTTCTCCCACTTAAAAATATGAGAGAGGCCTGTAATTTTCATCATAGGTACACGTCAACTATGACAGACAAAATGAGATTTTTTTTTCCAGAAAATCACATTGTAAGATTTTTAATGAATTTATTTGCAAATTATGGTGGAAAATAAGTATTTGGTCAATAATAAAAGTTTCTCAATACTTTGTTATATACCCTTTGTTGGCAATGACACAGGTCAAATGTTTTCTGTAAGTCTTCACAAGGTTTTCACACACTGTTGCTGGTATTTTGGCCCATTCCTCCATGCAGATCTCCTCTAGAGCAGTGATGTTTTGGGGCTGTCGCTGGGCAACACGGACTTTCAACTCCCTCCAAAGATTTTCTATGGGGTTGAGATCTGGAGACTGGCTAGGCCACTCCAGGACCTTGAAATGCTTCTTACGAAGCCACTCCTTCGTTGCCCGGGCGGTGTGTTTGGGATCATTGTCATGCTGAAAGACCCAGCCACATTTCATCTTCAATGCCCTTGCTGATGGAAGGAGGTTTTCACTCAAAATCTCACGATACATGGCCCCATTCATTCTTTCCTTTACACGGAACAGTCGTCCTGGTCCCTTTGCAGAAAAACAGCCCCAAAGCATGATGTTTCCACCCCCATGCTTCACAGTAGGTATGGTGTTCTTTGGATGCAACTCAGCATTCTTTGTCCTCCAAACACGACGAGTTGAGTTTTTACCAAAAAGTTATATTTTGGTTTCATCTGACCATATGACATTCTCCCAATCCTCTTCTGGATCATCCAAATGCACTCTAGCAAACTTCAGACGGGCCTGGACATGTACTGGCTTAAGCAGGGGGACACGTCTGGCACTGCAGGATTTGAGTCCCTGGCGGCGTAGTGTGTTACTGATGGTAGGCTTTGTTACTTTGGTCCCAGCTCTCTGCAGGTCATTCACTAGGTCCCCCCGTGTGGTTCTGGGATTTTTGCTCACCGTTCTTGTGATCATTTTGACCCCACGGGGTGAGATCTTGCGTGGAGCCCCAGATCGAGGGAGATTATCAGTGGTCTTGTATGTCTTCCATTTCCTAATAATTGCTCCCACAGTTGATTTCTTCAAACCAAGCTGCTTACCTATTGCAGATTCAGTCTTCCCAGCCTGGTGCAGGTCTACACATTTTTTTCTGGTGTCCTTTGACAGCTCTTTGGTCTTGGCCATAGTGGAGTTTGGAGTGTGACTGTTTGAGGTTGTGGACAGGTGTCTTTTATTAATAATAACAAGTTCAAACAGGTGCCATTAATACAGGTAACGAGTGGAGGACAGAGGAGCCTCTTAAAGAAGAAGTTACAGGTCTGTGAGAGCCAGAAATCTTGCTTGTTTGTAGGTGACCAAATACTTATTTTCCACCATAATTTGCAAATAAATTCATAAAAAATCCTACAATGTGATTTTCTGGATTTTTTTTCCTCAATTTGTCTGTCATAGTTGACGTGTACCTATGATGAAAATTACAGGCCTCTCTCATCTTTTTAAGTGGGAGAACTTGCACAATTGGTGGCTGACTAAATACTTTTTTTCCCCACTGTATATACATTTTACGGACAGTATATTTTACATTAGTTATCATTTGTTTGTTTTTAGTTCCAGCCTTCAGCTACCCTCAACCCATCCCATCTATCTGAAGACCATCCAGTTCTATTTTTCCATATATTTTGCATATGAGCGAAAGACAGATTTCGCGACAGAAGCACATCCAACACAGCTGTTGATGAATTCTCAAATGTGAGAACAGACCTGTTGATGTTGTGGAAGTTATGATTCGTTTCCGTGTTTGTCTACAATTATAACCATATGTTTTCACTTAAGGTATGCAAGCAAACATCTTGTGAAACAGGCAGTGAGAAGTCTTTCATTACAGAATGTAAATTAAACACATGGAACTCATTAATTAAACAAGATACAAGCCTCAATCTTCCAGATATAGAATAATACAAGCAGCAATAACTGTCCAGGCCTGAAAGAGAAATAAAAACAGGCACACAATGTGTACTGTTCTTTATGATTCACATTTATGTTCCAGATTTCTCCACTACAATAGGTTGTTTTGTTGGTTGCTTCAAAACAAAACAACATTATGTGTTCTGGATAACACTTAAACCCTCTAGTAACAAGGCATACAAAACATTATCATAATAATCAAATAACACAATCACTTCACAGCTAATGTCAGCTTATGGCAACTGATGTTTCACTGTCTGACACAAACTGTTATTAAAGACAGTTGGCTTTAACAGTATGCTGCTAGCCATAATAGTAACCATTGGCTAATAGTAGCTGCAAGCCAAAAGAGTAACCGTTGGCTAACAGTAGTTGCTAGCCAAAAGAGTAACCGTTGGCTAACAGTAGTTGCTAGCCAAAAGAGTAACCGTTGGCTAACAGTAGCTGCTAGCCAAAAGAGTAACCGTTGGCTAACGGTAACTGCTAGCCATAACAGTAACTGTTGGCTTACAGCACGTTGGCCATATAGTGGCCCTAAACAATGGTGTATCTGATGACAGAGGCTGTCATAAACTGAGGTGTAGTAAATGTTAATGACACATTTTAGGTCATTATCATGCCAGTATTATGTAAGTCTTTTGAGGGAGGGTTTGAGTGCTATGGATCTAGGTAGCTAGCATGCCTCGACAGAATTGTGATAAACACTTGGCTGAACAATTTGTTTAATTATGAATTGATTTTATATTCTACACAGCTCAATAATATATGATAATTAAAAAAGAAACAGTGGAGCAATTGTTATAGTAAAACAAGTTAGTAATAATTTTTGGACTTTTATTATAAAGAACAGTGACATTTGAAGACAACTAGGATCAGTTTAAATAAAATGTGTCAAATAAACGTTCAGAATTTTTTACATAAAATATACTGTAGCTATTGGTGTCTTTTTCAAATGAACCATGAGAATGGAGTGTTGTTTTAAGGCCTACAGTACAAGTTTCTACAACAGATTTATTTGAGAAAGTCAAATGGGTATCTCAGTCTTTCAGGGTGGAGATTGGATGCATATTTACATTGAAGCATTTATTTAGACTTTGATTTGAATACATTTATCAATAAAAAATATATTCTCTCTCCCAATCCACCTCTCCCCCTCTCTTCCTCTCCCCCTTTCATAATACATCCATACAGCTCGGTCAAAAGTTTCCTCTTTGCCTCTATGGGTGTCTTCTCAACCTCTGGGGTGCATTCTGAGGTGATCCGTTGGTTGTGTCGTTGTTTAGCAGAGCGCACCCAGTGGTCTGACACACGCCTGGGACTCCTCGGAGTCCTGGGTGACCTCTTAGTCCAGGCCGGCCTACATGGCCTCTCTCACCCTCTCGTCCTGGCGTGCCATTGAAGGCTCTGCCAGGTCTTCCACGTTGGCCTGGTGGATAAAGAAGGTGAAATACCTATTGAGTAGGTAAATAATGACTGTGCCTACCAACTACTACACAGCTTGGAGAGTTTGCAGTAGACTTTAAATTGACTTCCCATGTACATGTCATTGTAAAAAAAGGAAATGATGCAACATCTGCTTCCCAAGAAACTGGCATCTGTTGTTATATAATGATTACAATAGAACTGGGCCCGTCAAAGCTATTGTTGGATTTCCTTTTGATATGCTGTAAACCATTAGTCAGACAATAAAAAGGATGCAAGAGTGAAATGGTGCGGTACCCTTTGGCCCCTGGTCTCCGATATAGCCAGGTAGGCCATGGCCCTCTGCTCCCTTATCTCCTTGATCTCCTTGATCCCCTAGGAACCAGACACAAAGTTTTCACAGCATGAAGGACAGCAGGAAAACACATGATTTGTACCGCCCCTGACTCTGCATGCCCCTGGGACTAAGCTGGTACACAGGAACAAGCTGTTCATGTTGATTAACGACCATGTGTGTTACTGAGATCATCACTGGATAAATGTATAAAAACGCCTTGTAAATATTCTTTGATTTCATTAGTTTGGCTGGGGGAAAGTACCATAAGTGTGACGTCATGCTAGGCCCTAAAACAATAGCTTATAATTCCCCACGAAAACACACACAATGCCATAGTTAGTTATGTCCAGAGCCATATATGTAGAGAGAGAGTTCGGCCAGGTTTTAGAACAGCTGCCATGTTAGCACCTTTATTCTGGAATTTTTGCTCATGTAACAATACAAGAGTGCCTCTGACAGTTCCCTATGAAATGACCCGCTGTAAACAAGCAAGACAGAGCAGTGAATTTAACAGACATTTTAATTGATTAGCATTAGGGATAATGTGTATTCAAGTCTGAACTGTGTTGTGGTGTCAACAAATTGCATATCTGCTTTCACTGGACATGTTCATAGGTTTAGAAAACTATCAGAAAATCGCTTTGGCCCAACTCTCTCTATATATATATTACTCTGGTTATCTATGCATGTTACGTCTGCTCCATTCAACTTTTGGTTGTCATGTTATTTCTTTGCATATTTGTAGGCAAAATAAGAACCAGTTTTGTTGCTTACTTTTCAACAAATACGTATTGTTAGGTCATAGACACGACTAATCTAAACATACTGTCATGGTGAACAGCAATGGCTAACATATAGACACATACATTTTCAGATATTGCATCAAAGGAATGCTGAGATCAAATTCGTTCTGGCAGTCATTCATTTGTACAATATTTCTCACCTGGCTGTCCTTGTTGACCTGCGTCTCCAACCTCCCCATAGAATCCTGGTTGTCCGATCTCTCCATTCACACCAGCAATACCATTACCACCCTAGAACCACAACAACCAAAAGACTCTTGAGTGAGGTGAGCTTTGACAGAGATAAAATATTCAATATTTACAGTACATGATACGATTTATGGTTGCTGATTGCTGGCTGGTTACCGCAGGTCAAACACAGGGCTTGACAGGAGTATTTTTATACATTTGTGGCTTTATGAACTAGAAAGACTCTGTGGTAGAAAATGTTAGTTTGGGGAACCTGAACAGGGTCTGTCTTAATGCTTAATAATTGTGGAAAAGACTTTCCACTCCAGGGATGCTGGTGAATCCCTCCAAGAACCGATCAACACAGAGCAAGTGCCTCGTCTGCGACTTCTTATTTGTCTTCACGGGAATGTGGAAAGTCAGAATGTTTTCATTCCAACCTATACTGCCAAATATTTCGGCTCTCTCACTCCAAGCGTTTCCAATATGTAAGCATTTTACTTGGCCTGGGAGACACAGAAACACAATAACGTATGGAGTGTGCACTTCAACAGTGTTCCTGAGCAAAATGACCTATACGTGTGATGAGGCTTAAATGATTATTAATGGAATCCTCCAGACAGTGTCTATGTTCAGTTGTTAGAGGATTTCTAAGAATTAAAAATCGCACAAGAAATATTCCAGGCATTGACTTTGGCTTCCACCCCCCCATACACACACACACACACACACACACACACACACACACACACACACACACACACACACACACCCACTGACTGCATAGTAACCCCTAACACATGACACTCACTGGAGGTCCCGGGGGTCCCTTTTGTCCAGGGGGACCGGGGGCACCCATGGGGACGTCTCCGTAGAGTGGGCACACGGAGGCACACGTCCTCTTCACCGAGTTGGCAAAGGTGGACATCTGTTCCAGCACCACTCTCTTGCAGACCTCAATCACGTGTTGGGCGGAGAGGGTTGGGCCCTGTGGAAACAAATCATGACTGCATCCATCACTTGGGAAGACGACATGCGATAAGGAATATAACAGAACAGGATAGGGTAAGGAAGGGCTGGCACAACCAACAGCATGCAGGGCTCTGTGAGGAAATGGGTGGGTGTATGTAACAAACGGTGAGAAAACACAGCCAACAATATTTCCTTAGGCTCATTATATATTTACAGCCATACAAAAATGCAACCGTTGCTGTGAGTCACAAAAAACAACAACACTAATGAGAAACCATTTACAAGCATTCTCGACACTGCATTGTTTCCACACATGGTCTAATAACATGTATATCAATCTCTCCTGACTCAACGTAGAGGAGAGACTGACTGCATCACTACTGGTCTTTGTGAGAGGTATTGACGTGTTAAAAGTACCGAACTGTCTGTTCAATAGGTTAACACACAGCACAGACACTCATACATACCCCACAAGACATGCCACCAGAGGTCTCTTCACAGTCCCCAAGTCCAGAACAGAGGCTAGGAAACACACAGTACTACATAGAACCATGACTACATGGAACTCTCTTCCACCTCAGGTAACTCAAGCTAACAGTAAAATAATTAAAAAACAGATAAAACAACACCTCAAAACACAACGTGGACTGTGAAGAGACACACACTCACACACACACATTCTACACACAATGTAGTATTGTAATATTGTAATGTAATAATGGAGCAATGTAAATGTGTATAATGTACAGTGTTTTGTTTGATGTAATGTTTTTTCTCTGTTTGGACCCTAGGAAGAGTAGCTGCTGCCTTGGCAACAGCTAATGGAGATCCTAATCAAATACTAAATACTAATTGCTATAATGAGTAAGTCTGTCAGAACAGCTTTGATGAGGTTAGGGTGGGGTATCTGTTACATATCTTTTATCAAAGAAAACAGAAGATACGTAGCTGGCAGTGGAGGCTGGTGGGAGGAGCTATAGGAGGATGGGTTCATTTTAATGGCTGGAATGGAATAAATGGAACAGTATCAAACATATGGAAACCACATGTTTGACTCCGTTCCATTCATTCCATACTAGCCATTACAATGTGCCAGTCCTCCTATAGCTCCTCCCACCAGCCTCCTCTGGTAGCTGGCATATTGTTGCAATGCGGGTTGGAAATATGGTGCCTTGTTTTGAATGAATCAGTCAGTGCTACAGTAACATGCACACTGATGGGAGCCAGTAGTATTGGTGTTATACAACACAATTGAAAGCAGGTTCCAGTCTCTCTTATGACTAGGTGTTGATGAGTAATCCATTACATGTGTGACTTTGTGTGTTTTACTATGTGAGTCACAGTTGAGTAAAGATAATACTGGCTTCATCCTTCTTTTCCATTTCAGACCCAGATAGTCAATAAATAGACCTACTTTGATTTCAAACGTTTGTGTGGCACTCGCCCAAAACAAAGTAAGTTACTTGACCTTTTCAGATCTTGCTGAACATGGCAGTCTCTGTACTTACTGGTGGCCCTGGCGGCCCCTGAAATCCGACTGGTCCTCCATCGCCACGGACCCCTTTAGTTCCGACTGGGCCTGTGCGTCCAGGCTCGCCCCCTGGCCCACGCTTCCCCCGACCACCGTGGGGACCCTGTGCACCCGCATCTCCAACCTAGATCACAGACAGAGCATCAAGGGACATGTTCTGTAATACAAACACAACCTACTGATAGGTACGGTTGTAAGCTGCCCAGGACAACAATCTCTCTCACACGGTCCCCATTTGGTAGAGCAACTAGACACAGCATCACTAGACATTGTGGCGGCAGTAGCCTAGCGGTTAAGCGCATTGGGCCAGTAACTGAAAGGCCGCTGGTTTGAATCCCAGAGCCGACTAAGTGAACAATCTGCCAATGTGCCCTTGAGCAAGGCACTTAACCCTAATTGCTCCTGTAAGACGCTCTGGATAAGAGAGTCTGCTAAATATGTAAAATGTCTCATAAAACAAACATAAGATACAGATATGGCTGTGTAGAAATCCAAGTCTTGACTACAATGACTCTGTCGTCTCCATTTTATTTTATGTGACTATGGCACGACAAAGCAAAGAAAGTATATCTTACCTCGCCTGTGGGGCCTTTTTCTCCTTTTCCTCCCTATGGAAAGTAAGAAATGCCAGAGTGAGTGCAGTTAGATAACTTGGGCTTCATGAATACTGTTCAAGATGAAGTAGATACAATTGAATATAATGAAATGGAATATATGAAAAACAAAGCAATAGTATAAGTACCGTTGCGCCGTTGATACCTTGGATTCCTTCAATGCCTGTATCTCCCTGGTAGATACAATTAAAACAAAACATGATTAGAACGCCCTGGCACATTTGACTTACAACATATTTTTCACAGACTGTCTGTCTGAACATGTAGTCCTCGTGGACTGAAACGCAACACAGCATTTCTTTGCTACTTTGACTCTAATTCATCTGATCTTTAGGACAGCGTTTCTCTCACGTCCATTAATCACCACTACTCTTTGATGGCCCGCAAATCTTTACCATCTTCTTCTTCTTTTCATCCAGGAGCAGGATGTGTGTGTGTATGTATATGTGTGTGTGTGTGTGTGTAGTCAGGATGAGTGTGTGTGTGTGTGTGTGTGTCTAGTCAGGATGTGTGTGTGTGTGTGTGTGTCTTGTCAGGATGTGTGTGTGTATGTCTAGTCAGGATGTGTGTGTGTGTGTGTGTCTAGTCAGGATGTGTGTGTGTCTAGTCAGGATGTGTGTGTGTGTGCGTGTAGTGAATATGTCCCCAGAGTCATTCACCTCTGTCCTGATGGATGGCAAATGGCAAATGAACATGTACTTCAGAAATACTGCAGAAACTACTTTGGTTTATAGGGGACCTAATGTTCCAACATGCTCTATGTTTTTAACAGTAGGCTGGTCCATGTCTCCCTTTAAACTATATATCCATGTGTCTATGGGGTGGCAGGGAGCCTAGCGAATAATAGCGTTGGGCCAGCAACTGGTTCAAATCCCCGAGCCGACTAGGTGAAAATTATGTCACTCCTGTAAATCGCTCTGGTTAAGAGCTTCTGCTAAAATGTAAATGTATCAGTCTGATGTCTTCATAACAATTACACACTGTATCTGTCCGATGCCTAATTCACAACAATTCTATTTAGTGTTTGACATTTTCTATTTTTATGAAGCATTATTGAAGTTGTGTGTATAATAAAATGAAATAATATGATTCAGACTTTTGAGAAAAAGGTTTGTACAAATAATGATTTACATCTTATAATCCATTGATACATTTCCTAATCCGTTGAGCCTTTTGAGGACTTTTAAAGCCAGCACGAAAAGGCTCTTGAAATAGGTTATATTCTGATTTGAGAGCTGACACTGGAAAGAGAACAGGAAAGCCCCTGGTTCTACTCACACACTTTGTAGTCTGACGCCACTACGAGCCAACTAATGACGCAACCAACATGGAGTGTGCTATGTGTGTCTCACATCAGACAGGATCAAACTTCAAAAACGAGTTGAAAGTCAGATGTTTGATCTAACTACATCAGGGGTTCTATGGAATCTGCATTGTTCTAACTCTGCAAGGGAGACTTTACATGTTTCCTAATGCATAAACAGAAGCATTGATTGTCTAATAATAACGCACATGTGATTGAGAGGATTGTAAGAAAACCATGCTGTAAACACTTATAATAGGTCCCATCCAGACCACATAGTACAACGCAAGCTTTGAGTTAGGTATCAGCAGGCAAGTAAACAGCTAGAACAGGCCCTGAACAGACTCCTGAGGGAAGTTTAGCACCTACGTTAACTTCCGGTCCAGATGGGGAGAGAATAGGATATTCTGGAACAAGAGTCATGGCTCTGGGAAAGCCAGTGTGTCACAGCTTGTGAACATGCCATAAGAGCCAGTTGAGAATCAAAGAGAACAGGAGAGCCAATCAGGTGGGGAGAACTAAGTGAATCATCTGCTTGTTTGTTTGTTCTGCCCTGGTCATGGGGGTTGATGTGGGGTGGTTGACAGGTGAATGGGCGGTAGTGGGCTACAGAAGCTCTGTCAGTGGTGACACATGAAACCACAGAAAGGACATATATTTTGTTTGTGTACATCTCTGGATATTGATCTAGAGTAGGTCTAGTGCAGCAGTTGGCAAAAGGCAGCCATCCACTGATATATTTTTTAAATAGGGGGGTTGGTTTGCTCAAAAATACTAAAATCACCAGGAATTTGGCTAAAATGTGTTTAATTTATCTGTTCCGAAGTAATCCCATGTATTAAAAAAATGGGCTTAGTTGTGGTCTTAGTTGTGGACTCCCGACCATCCGCTCCGACAAAAATCGTCCGGCTGAATCTAGTTGACTACCCCTGGGCTAGTGTTCATTTGACCTCTTTGGTACTGTGTTGTAATAGTCGTGAAGTGTTGGTACTGTGTTGTAATAGTCGTGAAGTGTTGGTACTGTGTTGTAATAGTCGTGAAGTGTTGGTACTGTGTTGTAATAGTCGTGAAGTGTTGGTACTGTGTTGTAATAGTCGTGAAGTGTTGGTACTGTGTTGTAATAGTCGTGAAGTGTTGGTACTGTGTTGTAATAGTCGTGAAGTGTTGGTACTGTGTTGTAATAGTCGTGAAGTGTTGGTACTGTGTTGTAATAGTCGTGAAGTGTTGGTACTGTGTTGTAATAGTCGTGAAGTGTTGGTACTGTGTTGTAATAGTCGTGAAGTGTTGGTACTGTGTTGTAATAGTCGTGAAGTGTTGGTACTGTGTTGTAATAGTCGTGAAGTGTTGGTACTGTGTTGTAATAGTCGTGAAGTGTTGGTACTGTGTTGAATACAGTAGCAAGTCTCATTATCAAATCAGTTAAGACTCACTGACACTTATATAGGTATTGGTCGCCAGTTCCACCTTAGCTTTGAGATCATAGCGATATGTGAAGACAATGTAATGTGATCTAGGTGTAGACTTGGACAGGGCTAATGAATGTCTTGACACTTGACTTCGTTAATTGAGTCCTATCACACTTCATTATAGAACTCCCTACATGTTGCTCTTCTAGCAGTACAGTAGGTGAATAAAGTTGATTACCTTGGGGCCTGGCCGGCCAGCTACTCCCACATGCCCCTGTTGGAGAACCAACATGTTTTAGTGGTTTGGAGAGAATTAACTTGTATTTCAAAGAGTTTACGAAGAGTCATCCGGAACACTCACGACAGGTCCTGGGGGTCCAATAAATCCGGGTCTTCCTGGCTTTGCTGCTGATCCCTTATAACCTCTGGGGCCCTGGAGAGAGGAACATGTCTTACATTTAGCAGAGGGGCCACTTTATTTTCTCTTAAAGGGAAACTCCAGTCAAAAACTATCTTTTGGTATATTTTTCATTAGTCCACTATTCATACATTCCCAAAATGTTTTGCATGTCAGCAGTCAAGTTTTCAAGATATTGGACTTTCCAGAAGCAAAGTGTCACCGGCCACATCATCATGATGATGCAAAATTCAATGGCTCCTTAAAGTGAGACGTGTGAAGATGTGAAAGACGACTGTACTTACCGTTTGGCCTTGAAGCCCCATCTCCCCTGCCGGCCCCAGCATTCCTTTCTCTCCCTGTTGAGGGTAAAACCCACACACCTTTATTACCGTATATGAATCCAACTAATGAACAATTATTGTTTGTTTTATGAGATAGTTCTGTTACCATTATTCCGAATTGGCCGTTTCTGCCCTCCGGGCCCTGTGGTCCTTGATAAGCCTTGAGAAGGGATGGATGATATCACAGATCAGATACAGCCAATAGATAGGGTGCACATTCCCTGGGTCATCATGCCTCATGAGGGGTATAAGACATGCTACTGATGTCCTAAATGTACACCGTACACAAGGTCAAAGCATTAGTCGCTTTGGATAAAAGCGTCTGCTGAATGGCATTTATTATTTATATTATTGCTAGTGTAAACAGCAACATGGATGATAAAAGACTGTGAACCTACCTCTATTCCCATGTCCCCATCTCTACCGGGCAAACCAGGATCTCCAATAATACCCTGTGGAGATAAGTTGTTATTGATGTTACTAAAGGTTGGCACATGCTTGTTCATCTCTGAGATTAAGTTGACATTTCAGTCAGAATAATTCACCTTTTGTCCAATGGTGCCATATCTTCCTTTTGCTCCTTGGGTTCCCTGGTGTTGACAAACAAGTTGAATAATGAGACTATATATATATATATAGTTGTTGTTGGTGAATAATGTACAGCAGAGGAGGAACTGTTTGCATGTTTAGAAATGAGAAACGCGATTATGTGCCATACGTACAGGTTTTCCCTTTTCCCCAGCAGCTCCTGACTCTCCAGGATCACCTACAACACCCTGCCAAGACAACGTAAAGACAAACCACATGTTTATTCTGTTTCACTGAAATGAGACCAACTTTCCTTTCAATTTATTCCTGCTTGTTGTGACCGGAGATGTTTTAATGTTTCACTAAGGACATCTTCATCTACAGTGGAATTATGAGACATTTGAAAGACAGTTCTTGCCTTGTTAGCTGACCTGCAGATGGTCCTCCCTCTAGGAAATCACTAGGGTTGAAAGCGCTACCATTACTAACCCAATTTGTTGTGTTGCTATGGTTTGCGTACTTAAAACTAATCCCAAACCTGGCCACAGGTACAAATGTTATTTGAGGAAGGAGCAGAAGTGCCAAAACATATTTTTCCGCCATGGCCTCCTCTCAACATAAAACATTATTAATCTCCTCTGTGTGCATGCATGAAGGCTTGTGGAGGTAAATAGTGACTAAAATATTTGTCAAACACCTATTTTTCAGTGGCAATTGACAAGACTATAACTGACTATATAGACCCTGAAAAAACTATAACTAAACAAAAATACTTTTTCATTTCAGCTGACTAAAAGGAGACAAGACAAAATTATCTCTGTGACTAAAATCTGACTACTAAATGGACTGGACAATACTTTTTGGAGAGATTGAGAGCTTTCAGTGATAAGCACAATTAATATAAGCTGCACAGATGTGCAGCGCAGTTCTGTTCAGCAGTGGGAAGGACACATCACACCCGGCAAACACAGCCTACATGGTGAGCCGCATGGGAGCAAGCAAAGAGTGTGAGCAGACAGGCTCCAGCTCCAGCTCCGCCTCCGCCTCCGCCTCTGCCTCCACATCCGATTATAGCCTACACATTGCGCAGGCGACTCTCTTGCTTCACCACCAGCCTTCTAGTTAGCTACCCTTTGCCTGGTTAAGAAACACAAGCTGCTTTACGAAATTAAAAACAATAGCAGCATTGAGTTTAATAGTAAAACAACAGTCTAGCTACGTTTTTCTCTCCCTTGAGTATAGAAAGTAGGCTGTCTTTGAATTTGTAGTCTCGCTCAAATCTCCCATTTTCCCCACTGCATTTTATATACAGGTTCTGTAGCCAACGTAGCCAAGTCTCCCTCTTTTCCTCAGAGAAAATTGCTTGAATCTAGCCCTTAGGCTACTGTTCAAAAGACATTACCCATAATACCGGCACTACGTTTTTGTCTTTATATCGTGCATTTGCGGGCCGCATTTTACATTCATAAAGCATATTTCAGGCTGTTCTAAAACTAGGCTACTTGCGGACCAGACCATTAACCATTTGTTTAGGCTACACCTTGTTCAGTCATGGTACCTCATAGCTAGCTATAGCTAACGTTCTGGAATGTTCAGATATAAATTTGCTATGTAGAACAAATACGTCTCTCTGACATGTTGAATAAGGAATAACGTCAGCCCTATTCATGGAATTTCTATCTGAAAGGTGTGATGATGTTTTTCAACTGAACGTAGCCATGGTAACTTTACCAGTAGCCTGCTGAACGTAGCCATGGTAACTTTACCAGTAGCCTGCTGAACGTAGCCATGATAACATTACCAGTAGCCTGCTAAACGTAGCCATGGTAACATTACCAGTAGCCTGCTGAACGTAGCCATGGTAACATTACCAGTAGCCTGCTGAACGTAGCCATGGTAACATTACCAGTAGCCTGCTGAACGTAGCCATGGTAACATTACCAGTAGCCTATATGCAAACATTTGGTGGCACAGAAAGAAAGGAAAAGGGATAGCAAACCATTTATTGACTAAATTCCTCTTACCACTACACTATATCTGACTGGGTAAATAACTCCTCTTACCACTACGCTATATCTGACTGGGTAAATAACTCCTCTTACCACTACACTATATCTGACTGGGTTAATAACTCCTCTTACCACTACACTATATCTGACTGGGTAAATAACTCCTCTTACCACTACACTATATCTGACTGGGTAAATAACTCCTCTTACCACTACACTATATCTGACTGGGTAAATAACTCCTCTTACCACTACACTATATCTGACTGGTTAATAACTCCTCTTACCACTACACTATATCTGACTGGGTTAATAACTCCTCTTACCACTACACTCTATATGACTGGTTAATAACTCCTCTTACCACTACACTATATCTGACTGGGTAAATAACTCCTCTTACCACTACACTATATCTGACTGGGTTAATAACTCCTCTTACCACTACACTATATCTGACTGGGTAAATAACTCCTTTTACCACTTCATTATATCTGACTGGGTAAATAACTCCTCTTACCTCTACACTATATCTGACTGGGTAAATAACTCCTCTTACCACTACACTATATCTGACTGGGTAAATAACTCCTCTTACCACTACACTATATCTGACTGGGTAAATAACTCATCTTACCACTACACTATATCTGACTGGGTAAATAACTCCTCTTACCACTACACTATATCTGACTGGTTAATAACACCTCTTACCACTACGCTATATCTGACTGGGTAAATAACTCCTCTTACCACTACACTATATCTGACTGGTTAATAACACCTCTTACCACTACACTATATCTGACTGGGTAAATAACTCCTCTTACCACTACACTATATCTGACTGGGTAAATAACTCCTCTTACCACTACACTATATCTGACTGGGTAAATAACTCCTCTTACCACTACACTATATCTGACTGGTTAATAACACCTCTTACCACTACACTATATCTGACTGGGTAAATAACTTTATTTTGAGTTAATGTGGACCCAGTGACTCAGACTTGAGCACTGGGACTCGGACTTCAGACATAGGGACTTGTGAATCGACTCGTGACTTGACCATTGGTGACTCGGACTTGGACTCAGACTCGAGCACAGGGGACTTATGACTCGATTCGAACTCAAGGTTTAGTGACTCGACTACATCACTGGGCTAAACAGTCACTAGCACCTGATCAAAGTCATTAGGCCCCTTTCTACTTCTGGACATCAGTGTGACTGAGCTGTCTGCGGAACGTTGATAACAATGGCAATGAGTGATGAGTCACTTTGAGGTGATTGAGCTTCTCTCTCTCTCTCTCTCTCTCTCTCTCTCTCTCTCTCTCTCTCTCTCTCTGTCTCTCTCTCTCTCTCTCTCTCTCTCTCTCTCTCTCTCTCTCCTCTCTCTCTCTCTCTCTCTCTCTCTCTCTCTCTCTCTCTCTCTCTCTCTCTCTCTCTCTCTCTCTCTCTGCACTTGTGTGTGTGTGTTTGTTTTGTATGTAACATCTATCTAGGCTGAATTAATCATTTACATGGCCAGATCATTCTTATATATTCTATGTCATATTTCTGCTGTTGGGAAGAGAATAGGATGATGTTAGGCAGAACAATCTGTTGGTAAGACAAGGTTATGTATGTTTGTGCACATGGAGGTCAGTGATTTATGTTTACTATAGGCATAGCCGCGGAAGTAGGAGTGCTGCAGCACCCCCTGTAAAAGAAATAATAACAATAATAATAATAACAAATATATACAGTACCAGTCCAAAGTTTGGACACACCTACTCATTCAATGGTTTTTCTTTATTTTTACTATTTTCTACATTGTATAATAATTGTGAAGACATCAAAACTATGAAATGACACATATAGTAACCAAAAAAGTGTCATGTAGTAACCAAAAAAGTGTTAAACAAAGATTTTAGATTCTTCAAAGTAGCCACCCTTTTACTTGATGACACCTTTGCACACTCTTAGCATTCTCTCAACCAGCTTCATGATGTAGTCACCTGGAATGCATTTAAATTAACAGGTGTGCCTTGTTAAAAGTTAATTTATGGAATTTATTTCCTTCTTAATGCGTTGGAGCCAATCAGTTGTGTTGTGACAAGGTAGGGGGGTATACAGAAGATAGCCCTATTTGGTAAAAGACCAAGTCTATATTATGGCAAGAACAGCTCAAATAAGCAAAAAGGAATGACAGTCCATCATTATTTAAGACATGAAGGTCAGTCAATACGGAGAATTTCAAGAACTTTGAAAGTTTCTTAATGTGCAGTCACAAAACCCATCAAGCGCTATGATGAATCAGGCTGTAATGAGGACCGCCACAGGAAAGGAAGACCCAGAGTTACCTCTGCTGCAGAGGATAAGTTCATTAGAGTTACCAGCCTCCGAAATCGGCAATTAACTGCACCTCAGATTGCAGCCCAAATAAATACTTCACAGAGTGCAAGTAACAGACACATCTCAACATCAATTGTTCAGAGGAGACTGCGTGAATCAGACCTTCATGGTCAAATTGCTGCAAAGAAACCACTACTAAAGGACACCAATAAGAAGAAGAGACTTGCTTGGGCCAAGAAACATGAGCAATGGGCATTAGACCGGTAGATTTCTGTCCTTTGGTCTGATGAGTCCAAATGTTCGATTTTTGGTTCCATCCGCCGTGTCTTTGTGAGACGCAGAGTAGGGGGTGCTTTGCTGGTGACACTGTCTGTGATGTATTTAGAATTCAAGGCACAGTATTCTGCAGCGATACGGCATCCCATCTGGTTTGCGCTTAGGACAATGACCCAAAACACCTCCAGGCTGTGTAAGGGATATTTGACCAAGAAGGAGAGTGATGGAGTGCTGCATCAGATGACCTGGCCTCCACAATCACCTGACCTCAACCCAATTGAGATGGTTTGGAATGAGTTGGACCACAGAGTGAAGGAAAAGCAGCCAACAAGTGCTCAGCATATGTGGGAACTCTTTCAAGACTGTTGGAAAAGGATTCCATGTGACTACCTCATGAAGCTGGTTGATAGAATGCCAAGAGTGTGCAAAGCTGTCATCAGAATCTCAAATATAAAATATATTTTGATTTGTTTAACACTTTTTTGCTTGCTACATGATTCCATATGTGTTATTTCATAGTTTTGATGTCTTCATTATTATTCTACAATGTAGAAAATAGTAAAAATAAAGAAAAGCCCTTGAATGAGTAGGTGTGTTCAAACTTTTGACTGGTAATGTATAATGAAAAAAATATTTTTTTATAAAAGTAGTGCACTGGGCCTTTAATAGTCCTGTATTAGCAGACCGATATATCTGTCTGCAGTGCCAGCGCTGGCAAAAAAGTTTGTCCACCCCCCCCCCCCCCCCCCCCAAACTACTTCCCATGGCTATGACTATAGGTTAATAAGGCAATACAAATGTAATGCGACTCAAATGTGACTAAAATAAAAGGGCATTTAGTTGACTAAAATGGCCCACTGTTTTCGTCATTTTGACAATAAATAGATTAAATCATTATTCAAGGGACAAAAATGTGACTAAGACTAGAGTAAATCTAAAAAATAGTGCCAAAATGAACACTGGGTTGTAGATACAGTATTATTATTATAACAAGTGGGGTTTAGTGTGAACATGCGTGATGTGGCCCCATAACATACTTGCTTTCCCAGTGGCCCAGGAGGTCCTTCAACACCGGAGGCCCCTTCTTCTCCCTAGAAACAATACAAGCATACAATGTTATTGAACATTTAATAATTCATAGGAGAGAACATGGAGAAATAAGAATGTCTGGTGGATTAAATGATATTCACCTTCACTCCTGTATATCCTGGAATTCCTTCATATCCAAGTGGACCTGGATCACCCTTCAAGAAGACAGAGAAGTTAGTGAATGATGATTGATCACTAGTATAATGCAATATGGCTGCGTTTACACAGGCAGTCCAATTCTGATCTTTTTGGTAAAAGAGCTGACCTGATTGGTCAAAAGACCAATTTGTGGAAAAATATAAAAATTGGGCTGCCTGTTTAAAAGAAGCCTGTCTCCCATTTTTAGAAAAACGTACCGTTTCTCCTTGTACTCCGGTCTCACCCAGCTCTCCAGGTGACCCCTGAGTTCCCTGTAATCATTATTAAAACATTCAAATGAGACCCTCTTAATCTTCTATTAAATAGTACAAGCACGGCACTCAGCAAAGCAACACATGAAAAGTAAAAAATGTTGTTACTTTCAAATTGACTTAATATGCTCAGAGCCATATGTATTTTATATACAGTATATGTATATATGGCTCTGCAATGTGCACAATGCTGCGTTTAACACGCCTAATGGAAGCCTATGAGATTTGAAGAGACCATATCCTCCATTACGAAGCACAACACAACCTACCTTGAAGCCCCCGGCGCCTTGTAATCCCTTCAGACCTTTGGGACCTCTGTCGCCCTGAAACACAGCAGCTCGTTAGGACTAATCTGCACAGTGACATCAGAGACCAGATAAGGAGATTATGGATATGTGTTTGATGGTGGATTACATCAAGGCCGTGAAGTCCTCTCATCCCTTTGTTTCCTCTGATTCCTGCCATGCCCTGATGGAGACACAGTTAATGACTTCTGACAACTCAACCAAACACAGAAACAGGGACAGATACAGGTCGGGGTCAGATGTCGGGTCTTACCTTAGGGCCTGGTTCCCCAATGTGGCCATAGTCACCTGTCTGTCCCATACCTCCCTGCAGCAGAAGAGACGTTTGAATTAGTTACAAAAGAGACTTGGGGGGTCAGCCAAGATACATCAAATAATATGTAATTCTAGTCAAATGTGCACTCGCGTCATGTAGGACACGCAAGCTCAGTGCAGGGACTTTCCTATTTTTCAGTTTCACGCAGTGTTCATGCAAAAGCATACGACTGAACTTAATTAGATGTGAAATAATCAATTATGTCATGGGTGAACTAGAGCGACGTGTCCCAGCTGTCCATTATGACTGTTATGCAGTAGTCTTGGCCGGCGGAATGTGTCTCTGACTGATGCTATAAAACAGAGTCTCCAAACTGTCAGAGGTGTGGGCATCACAGTAAGTTATATGCATTTCATTGTGGCTTTCAAATGGAACATACAATATCAATCCAAGCGCTTGAAGTTATGATAATAACCATAACATTTCCTTGGAGGCGTAGATGTTTCCAGAAGGAGGAAATCTGAACATGGGCTATTAGGGGTAACTAGTAGTACATGATGGGCATCATGATGTGTCAAATGTTTACTTTAGACCGAAGATCTTATTAGTGGGCGACAGGCTGAGCCCCTGAAACATGGAGTTAGTGTTAACACAGTGTAGGCCACAATTTATGACCCGAGGAAAGATGTGTCTTAGTTAAGGGAAAATTGAAACATTTATTCTGTTAGTGTTTCCACACAGATTTCCACATCCTCACTCATGTAAGACAACGTGTTGGCCTATGAATTGGGGATATTCCACTTACTCAACCAACACCTTTGAACAAGACCAACAGTCATCTATGCCATGGCACCAGTTTATTTAACCATTTCACCTGAGACCACTCCATGTCAGCTGCTAAGAGGCTAACCTTGGAGACGATAGACGCTTTATCCAGAAGCATGACCGTGAACTTTACAACGTTACAGTGTTTTTTAAAAAGCGATTCGTGTGTGGCAGGGGACCAATGGAAGGACCACCCACCGGGATGGACAGTACATATATATCCGAGCCAGGAAATGCCCTCCTTAGGCGCCAGCAGGGGTGGCAGTAAACATGGTCGTTCTTTGTGACTTGCGTACTGGCTTGGGGTGAGGGCTCCACTGAGTCTGAGAAGACAGATTTTGGCCCCCAAGCTTGTCCCCCTCATCCGCCTGTCTGTGAGTGAGTACCCAGCATGGCCATGTGTGTGTGTCTGTGCGTGTGTGTGTGTGTACGCGTGTGTATGAGAGCGCATGTGTGTGTGTGTGTGCGCTTTGCGTAGTATATGGGACATTTTTACCCAGAGTCTCTACAGCCGAAAGGGCATGTTAAATGCCAAGCCAACAACTAATTTCTCATGTACAGACAAGTCCTCTGTCATTGAAGACCCACTAGCAGCATTGCACACTATTGGTCACATGTTCTCTGTTCTCTGAGTTGTGGCTCCGGCATACCACCAAGAGCTGGAGCTGCTACATCAAAGAGGTAAATTAGTCTTACAGATGTAGGATCTTAATTTGATCACCCTGTTGCATGACAACTTTCCTGCAATGCAGGACATTTTAAACATGTAGTGTATTGGTTTAAAAAGGCTTCTGAAGTTTGTAATTTCCACTTTGAAATTTCAGACTTGATTTCCCCTTATGAAAAATGTATCAACCCCTACAAAAATGTCCATTAATTATAATCATCATAATAATTCACATTTCCTGTTGCTGCAGGATTATTTTCCTGCTGTAGCAAACTGGTTCAAATTAAGATCCTACATCTGTAACTCAGTCTCAAATGGAACTAATCATGTCTACTGCCTGAAGCCTACAAGCAGGGAGGGTTATGTTCACATAGTCAAATATGTAATTGAATCCTGATGCAGTGAGTATGCCATGCCCTTTAATTAAACTGCTTAGTAAACATGTTGTCCTCTGCTCTGCGCTGGATGGTTCTCGATTGCATTTTAAGAGGTGTTCTGTTCTCAACTCTCTCCAGTTTTCTGACAATGACAAAGCATTCTTCATTTAGAGCGCTGAGTGCTATGTAGATGAAAGGCAGCAGTACGATACTGATGACTATTATGACTATGATGACTATGATGCTAGCTGTGCCATTAGAGATCCTGGTTCGAATCCAGGCTCTGTCGTAGCCGGCCGCGACCGGCAGACCCATGGGGCGGCGCACAATTGGCCCAGCGTCGTCCAGGGTAGGGGAGGGAATGGCTGGCAGGGATGTAGCTCAGTTGGTTTGCAACGCCAGGGTTGTGGGTTCGATTCCCACGGGGGGCCAGTATGAAAAATAAAAAAAATTATGTATGCACTCACTAACTGTAAGTCGCTCTGGATAAGAGCGTCTGCTAAATGACTAAAATGTAAATGACTATGATGACTATGACTATGAAATGATGACTATGAAATGATGACTATGATGATGAAATTATGACGAAACAATGATTCATATGTATGAGAACATAACAAGCTACTGTAATAAGTAATACAACATTCATCATTAGAATGTTACTCAACTGACTGCTTTCACTGGCTGAGGATTCATTCTCTTAAGTATGAATCTCCTAATGTTAAAGTGAAACCAGACAGTCTATGATGCTTTGCCATATTGATCTAAAAGTTATATTATCACTTCCACTTCACGTTCATTGTCGTGCGATGTTCCCCCGGGACAGTTGCATACGGCCTTCAGTCGTCCCAACGTGAGTGGTGGCCCAGTGTTTACCCTATATAGACGGCACTGTTTCTGCTTCTGTTCCCATCATGCCGTCTCTCAGTTATGCTTCCATTGTATTTTCCACAATTTCACTGCTGTCCCGCAAGCAGGGGTTTTCCTATTTCATTAACGTTCAATTTAACTCTTTACTGTACCAACCTCTGCAGTCAATCCGGGGCCTATAGCCCAACATATAAACGTCTGTCACTGTAAAATCCACAACACCAACAGAGAGCATACATTCTGAATGACAATTAGCACTCATTAGTGTTCTAAGTTGTTGACCCTCACTAAACACAGTTCAACTTAACACTGTAGTGAGAATTGTGCTGTAATGCCCTTACCCAGTTGCCTAGTCTTCCTGGCTCTCCTGTGTTGCCTGGGAGACCTCTGTGACCCTGCAGAAGGAGACATACGGTTGTAGTTAGCATTAGCCTGGACCACAAGCCAGCCATGCCAAGTTGGCTCTCCAGCCTGGTCTAATGCTGTATGTGCTCTTTTATCTATCATTGCCAATGAACAAACACAGAGAGGAGTTGGCTGACAGCAGACTGAACAGACTAGACCACCAGGCTAACGGCTCTCAGCTCATTATTCAAAGCAGTGGTGCTGTTATGGGAACTGTAATGGGACTAGTAGTCACCTTTGGTCCTGGGGGTCCCTGGCTGCCAGGCTGTCCGTGCAGACACTTACAGGTGGCCCTTCCTGCTGTCAGGCCAATCTCAGCATGCCCTCCACACTAAACAGAATAGAATAGTAGAGAACTTGATTAGACAGTCCATCTGCAGAGACATAAATTGTTATTCTGCTCTGATCCCCACTCCCTAGAGACAACACACGAACCCACAGCACACATTTGGGAGGAGAACATAGTCACTGCTATGGGAGACAATTAAAGAACAGGCTGGATTTAAAGACATACTGTACTGTACATATCTGTCACTGACGAACATGAACCCGCTAGCAGTCACACCCAACTCACCACACTGGAGAGCTCACAGCAGCCCTCTGAGTAGGCCATCTCTGGATCACAGGACACATCCATCTGCTGGAGGTCTACCTACAGTACCAGGACACAAGATATTATGGTCAGTGGGCTTTCATATGAACGCTGAATTGACCGTGGCGCCATGATCGATTCATAGACACAACTGCAAAATACTGTAGGAAACCCAGCATGATTTGGTCTGAACAGCACAGAACTTACTGAGGCGGAGCGATCTCCCACAGCCCTCTTCACGATGGAGGTGTAACCCTGGCGGATGACGGGTCTAGGATCATCGATGGGCTCCACGCTCACCTCCTCGCAGTCCACCAGCAGCTTGACCTTATTGCCTTTTACCTGCAGCGCCAGCTTGTGCCACTCTCCGTCAAAGAGCTTGTCCACCCGGTGGAAGGTGCGTAGCATCTGGGTGCCACGGGGGCTGGTGTAGAAGAAGTCCAGAGAGCGTGTGTCGCCCTGGAAACGGAGGCCCACCTGTTCACGTCCATCGGGGTCGCTGACCTGCCACAAGTTCCAGGACCTCTTGGCGGCGTCCTTCGTCACCTTAAATGTGGCAATGACGGAGTAGTCGGAGGGCAGGCCGTCGGGGTACACATCACTGTGGCACGACAATCATGGGTTATTAGGAGACACTTAATATAGTTGAAAACATTTCATCATATTTTCATGTAGAACAAGCACTGCCATTTGTAGTGCAATTGTATTTTGAATAAAATGAACAAATACTTTTGAAACAACAGAATCAGTGTTACACAAGCTTAACGTTTGATACCTTATCCCACAACTTTTGCTTATGGTTTCAAAGCCCCCCCCCCCAAGTTGGAAAATGAAGCTCATTCAATCTACCATTATGTTTAATCACAAACAGACCTTTCACCATGACTGAATTGAAATCCTCTTTCTCCCTCCCATGGACTCAGTCAGGGCCTTTTGTTTCGCAGATACTGTTGTTTGAGTAGGGCATAATTAACAAAACTTCGGAACTCAATAGAAAACACATCCTAGTTGTCATGGCATCGATCAGGTTCATGAGGACAGCCTTGTGCATCATCAACACAGAGAGGGAAAAGCCGGCCCACAAATATAGCATGTCTACTTAGATGTTCACAGATGCATCCCAGCAATGATGAGACATACTCACATGTAGTAGCCTATCTATGCTAAGAAAGTGTCAATCAGGGTTTGAGGATGGTTGGGTAAAACCCTCCCCTTTTCCAATTGAACGATGACGTCTTTATTTTCAAAGGAAACCCTGGATGATAGGCTGATACACTATGAGGACTCATAACGCATTTTGACTAACAACACATCATTATGCTAATCAACAAAGAGTCAGCTACTATATTCATCCATTGTGATGACTGAATGAAATCCAGTGGTGTTCCACCTACTGTCCATTGGTGAACATCAAGTGATTAAGCAAAGGCACATTTTGAGGTTTTCGCAGAGGAGAGGAAATCAAATCTGTTGTTTGGAAGTGGGCATAATTACACTGAGTGGAAAAGCGGTGGAAACTGGCAAAGGGGCAGTGAAGAAGCAATACACATCGCTATAGATCTCTCATTTGGATGCATGGTCTTAGCTCACGTTGGCTAGTTCACATGCGAGGAAAGTAGGAAACCTTAAGATAAACATCATCATTCACCATCAGTGAGGAGGAATGACAAAGTCTGGGCTTTTTATCACATATTGATGGAGGTAGAGCACCCGGGTCTCCTTAAGGGTTCAACATGGATGTTGCAGATAGAAACACCATGAATACAGCTGATATGATGACTTACTCTACATGTTAGTGAGGCAATGTCTATTCTATAACAACAAGTTCCACAATGTTGTGCCTCTCTAAATGCACCACTGGTCTATTGAAGGCCTGTGTGTTCAGATTGAATATCAGGAAGGTTCCGCTCCGTACCACTTTGGAAATAAATGTTTTCCTGTGTTATTGTGTGTTACTGTTACCCTCTGAGATTCTAATCTTAACATATGTTTTATTTTTAAACCTCACAATCAAATTCCATTCTATTGAAATCCATTTCGCTTCACTGTGTGCGTGCAGATAGTACCTTATGGTTCTGCGTAGGTGGATGGCAGGGTTCACACGGTAGGCCACTGAATCAGGTTCAGATCCAACCACTTTCTTCACCCCTCTGGACTTAGATACACGGAACTCCTCTAGCATGTCATAACCTCAGAGCAAAAACACACAGCTCAGTTTTTCACCAATGTGATGTTCATAGTGTTGACAGTTAAAGTAAGGCAGTGAACGATGAGGATCTGGATGAAACACATTATTTCAGAAGTCACACAGTAGGTGGGGGTGGGCATGTGGACAACTGGAAAGTTGAATAAATCAAAAAGTGATCTATCGAACAATATGATCAATCAAACAATGGTTATTGGTATTCATGTTACTGGTATTCAACAGCAGCAAACTTTGCAATCTAATGTTTAGTGAAATAGTTATTTGTTCAATCAGTGTTGATTTGCAGTAACTGACACATAGAACAGTGTAATTGATTACTCACTACAAAATGACAGTACACTTGGCACAACATGAATGTAGTTGACTATCATGACTCTCACTCCCACAGTTGAAGGGTGTCATCATAGATTAAATTATTCTAATTCCTAATTCTATGGGAGTCATTTCATTCAGAAAAGGGGAAGTCTGGATGTTTTCATGACTTCACAATGATGGCAGTTAGGGTTGGTAGTGATACATTCTCTTAAGCCTAAATCACAGACTGACTGCAGGAAATACTCAAGAGGAGAAGGATGTGTGTTCCTCTAAGAGTGCAATGGTTTTATGTGCCAGTGCTGCCGCCTGCTGGTCACGCAAGATATAGAGATAAAATGATATTGCATTGCATGGACCACTGTTCATAAATTCCCACACCTACCAACTTTGCCAACATTGGACAGAAAGAAAATATAGGCACAGTCTTGAGAAAAGCTGTAAATCAATCAACCACTATTATTAGACCCTCAATAAACAGGAAATAAAACAATTTATGGTAGGGCCTACTTACTTGGTAATTCCTGACATTTGGTCAATCCAACGAGAGCTAGAAGCACTGGGAAAACCAGCATCTCTTTGAAGGCTGGCATTTTCAAAATGTGATGTGTCAGGGATTATATGTGCCTGCAAAAGTACAATAAGATAAACTATAATATAATTGAAATGTTAGCCATTTTTTCACAGTTAACTTATAGAGAGGAACAGTGCACTGTTTTACTTTATGTAGACTTGGTAAGATTATGCTTATTCAAATCAAATGCAAAAAAACAACAATAATTGTCAATAATAGAAAATAACAGCAATATTTTGATTATAGGATACATTTTGATTACATATAACCGCAATAATACCCATCATGTCAATCATATATTTTACAGGACTATAAATCAGCATCAAATAGGCTATAAAAATTATGTACTTTAAAAATGATGTACTTTTCCATTTGGAATTATATTATGTCATATAATAATATGAAATCAAGTCTAATCAGGCAATTGGGCAGAAAAGTGCCTATAATAACTTGGTCACAGTTCGGTATCGAAGGAGTCACATAATTATTAATGAACCGTAAAAAAAAATCTAGATTAACTTCACGATTATCCAAACAAATAAAATCATACCATATTAAATAATATAATGTGCACATCAGTGGTGTAAAGTACTTACGTAAAAATACTTAAAGTACTACTTAAGTAGTTTTTGGGAGTATCTGTACTTAACTATTTATATTTTTGACAAACTTTTACTTTTACTCCACTACATTTCTAAAGAAAATAATGTACTTTTTACTCCATACATTTTCCTTGACACCCAAAAGTACTCATTACATTTTGAATGGTTAACAGGACAGGAAAAGGGTCCAATTCATGCACATGTGTAGAGAACATTTCCTGGTCATCCCTACTGCCTCTGATCTGGCGGACTCACTAAACACAAATGCTTCATTTGTAAATTATGTGAGTGTTGGAGTGTGCCCCTCGCTATCCGTACATTTTAAAATAACAACAAAACAGTACTAATTATGAGAATCAAAACCCATACAGTAGAATCTACTGTACTGAATTGATGTGATGGGGTAATTCTCTTAGTCTACTCTTAAATTAGATAAATGACACTTTTAACGTCAGTAATATTTGTCCACAATAAATCGATGGCTTTTTGATGGAGCTAACTTTATCCTTGAGGTTATCCTAGGAAATAGATCCCACCACAAACAAAACTCACCATCATATTTAAATTAAAGTATTATAAAATATAAATAATCCTGTATATGAATGTAGACAATATTGTAAAAATCACTCACATATTCTTGAAAAAGAAGCCCCGGATGTGGACTGCAGACTGTTCCTTTACAGTTCCCGCAGTGAGGATGTAACCAATTTTAAAGTGGCATCCCTAAGCCAAACCTTGCCTTAAACAGGAGGACCATTCAATCTGACAGTGGCGGGTCTCAGGAAGACCTGACCCTTGCGCTCCACTCTACCTTCGGTCCCCAGGGGATCTGAACTCTCCCATAGGCCCGTCGCATCTGCTGAAACACACTTCAATGCAAGGGGATTGGTCAGAACAACCATTAAATCCACCTTTCCTTTTTATACATGCCAGGTGCACAAGCAAAATATTGATTATAATATTTGTACGCATTATTATTGGTATGGGATATAATAGACTGTATTGAATTTGCAAGGAGCATGCAGCCTATCCTTTCCTACACGTGTCATGTCCTCTGAAGCCTGCCTAATAATTATTCAGCAATGAATAGGCTAATTCTTGTTTGCATATTAACTTGTCACAGTTCACATATTATTTTCATTATTGTAGGCCACTTTTATAATTAATATTTTGTCAAATAAAATGTGAAATAAAACTATTTTTGGTTATACTTTAAAGTTCCTTCCCAGAACAGTCAGCCGCTGTCCGGATTCCCACTAGTAGAAACGTGTAGTATGTCTCGGCCACGCGCGAGAAGCGCTCTGCAAACATTCCGCGCGCAGAGAATGGTGATGCTGGGAATACCATTAACCCAAACCACATAAAACACTGCACTGACCTGGGCGTTTGGCCTATCGGGGGTGTATTGGGCAACTTGGGTCTAAAATAAATTAGCGTTGGATTTGTCCAATACACCCTCCTTATGAACCTTCACTGATCTGAATTAATAATCTAAAGCCATGACTACATCGAACTCTATTCCACATCAAGTAAATTAGATGTAAAAAACAGATAAAAATACACCTTATGGAACAGCGGGGACTGTGAAGCAACACAAACATAGAAACATGCATACAAACACACGATAACACACGCACTATACACACATGTACACGTTGATTTTGTGTTATAGATATGTGGTAGTAGAGTAGAGGCCTGAGGGCACACACTTCATATGTTGTGAAATCTGTTATGAATGTACTGTAATGTTTTTCAAATGTATAACTGCCTTGATTTTGCTGGACCCCAGGAAGAGTAGCTGCTGCTTTGGCAGCAGCTAATGGGGATCCATAATATATACAAATACAAATCTAAATGTATGTTTTTTTTTAGGCACACACCTTGGCATTAAAGTCACAGTCTGTAGATTTTCTACAAATGAAATACAACACATTTATTTGCTCCTTTGTTTACATTTTGGTTGACCCACAGATTATATGGGTGGCCTGTATAGGTAGTCTATATAACATAGTCTATATAAAATAGCCTATATAAAGTAGTCTATATAAAGTAGTCTATATAAAGTAGCCTATATAAAGTACTCTATATAAAGTAGCCTATATAAAGTAGCCTATATAGTGTAGCCTATATAAAGTAGCCTATATAAAGTAGCCTATATATAGTAGCCTATATAAAGTAGCCAATATAAAGTAGCCTATATAAAGTAGTCTATATAAAGTAGTTTATGTAAAGTAGTCTATGTAAAGTAGTCTATGTAAAGTTGTCTATATAAAGTAGCCTATATAAAGTAGCCTATATAAAGTAGTCTATATAAAGTAGTCTATATAAAGTAGCCTATATTAAGTAGCCTATATTAAGTAGCCTATATAAAGTAGTCTATATAAAGTAGTCTATACAGTGGGGAGAACAAGTATTTGATACACTGCCGATTTGCAGGTTTTCCTACTTACAAAGCATGTAGAGGTCTGTAATTTTTATCATAGGTACACTTCAACTGTGAGAGACGGAATCTAAAACAAAAATCCAGAAAATCACATTGTATGATTTTTAAGTAATTAATTTGCATTTTATTGCATGACATAAGTATTTGATCACCTACCAACCAGTAAGAATTCCGTCTCTCACAGACCTGTTAGTTTTTCTTTAAGAAGCCCTCCTGTTCTCCACTCATTACCTGTATTAACTGCACCTGTTTGAACTCGTTACCTGTATAAAAGACACCTGTCCACACACTCAATCAAACAGACTCCAACCTCTCCACAATGGCCAAGACCAGAGAGCTGTGTAAGGACATCAGGGATAAAATTGTAGACCTGCACAAGGCTGGGATGGGCTACAGGACAATAGGTGAGAAGGCAACAACTGTTGGCGCAATTATTAGAAAATAGAAGAAGTTCAAGATGATTGTCAATCACCCTCGGTCTAGGGCTCCATGCAAGATCTCACCCTGTGGGGCATCAATGATCATGAGGAAGGTGAGGGATCAGCCCAGAACTACATGGCAGGACCTGGTCAATGACCTGAAGAGAGCTGGGACCACAGTCTCGAAGAAAACCATTAGTAACACATTACGCCGTCATGGATTAAAATTCTGCAGCGCACGCAAGGTCCCCCTGCTCAAGCCAGCGCATGTCCAGGCCTGTCTGAAGTTTGCCAATGACCATCTGGATGATCCAGAGGACGAATGGGAGAAGGTCATGTGGTCTGATGAGAAAAAAATTGAGCGTTTTGGTCTAAACTCCACTCGCCGTGTTTGGAGGAAGAAGAAGGATGAGTACAACCCCAAGAACACCATCCCAACCGTGAAGCATGGAGGTGGAAACATCATTCTTTGGGGAAGCTTTTCTGCAAAGGGGACAGGATGACTGCACCGTATTGAGGGGAGGATGGATGGGGCCATGTATCGCAAGATCTTGGCCAACAACCTCCTTCCCTCAGTAAGAGCATTTAAGATGGGTCGTGGCTGGGTCTTCCAGCATGACAACGACCCGAAACACACAGCCAGGGCAACTAAGGAGTGGCTCCGTAAGAAGCATCTCAAGGTCCTGGAGTGGCCTAGCCAGTCTCCAGACCTGAACCCAATAAAAAATCTTTGGAGGGAGCTGAAAGTCCGTATTGCCCAGCGACAGCCCCGAAACCTGAAGGATCTGGAGAAGGTCTGTATGGAGGAGTGGGCCAAAATCCCTGCTGCAGTGTGTGCAAACCTGGTCAAGACAGGAAACGTATGATCTCTGTAATTGCAAACAAAGGTTTCTGTACCAAATATTAAGTTCTGCTTTTCAGATGTATCAAATACTTATGTCATGCAATAAAATGCAAATTAATTACTTAAAAATCATACAATGTGATTTTCTGAAAATTACAGACCTCTACGTGCTTTGTAAGTAGGAAAACCTGCAAAATCGGCAGTGTATCAAATACTTGTTCTCCCCACTGTATAAGTTGGACCATTTCCATATGATGCTAGATTCCTTTTGTCTCTCTTTGTCTCTCTGCTGCATCCTATCGGGTCATTCTACAGAAACAATACATTATACTGTAATAAAAATGTATAACATAATATTTAAAGAAACAGACAAGTATGTGCCCCATCTCAGTATCCCATGGTAGCTTTCTGCAAGCAGATTTATTACAAAAAGGTTACAGTAATCCTTTCCACTCTAGCAAAATGAACCATACACTGACATGATGAATGCACTAAAGAATGTCTACTCAGGGCCCAGAGAGGCCCCTGTTCAAGGTAAAATGCCACACATTGCTGTAAATTGACCAAACAAAACAGAATTACCTGCAGGTGCTAAGGAAAGTTGGAGTATTTTAAAGCCTGGATATTGAGGGGTTTCTGAATGAACTTGCCTTCAACAGTTTTCTCAGTCAGAACATAATTATTTGCAGTGTTTACTATGTGGTAGGCTACATGTATATTGTATTGCCCTTTAAATGCATTTTGGCAGTATATCATTGCACTTTAAATAGATAATAGATCATTGGTGTCCCACAGGGTAGCGTGATGCACCGTCTGTCACACATATGTCAGCATACAGAAATTACAGTACATTCAGTAACTCTCTCAGAGCACAATGCTGTGCGTTACCATTCATTAGTGTGTAAAAGTGTTAGTTGACCATACAATGTACAGTCTTTTCCATGTTTTTTTTTTATTTCCTGTTTTTTTAACTTCTTCAGGTTTAGCGTCAATAAAATAAAATGATCATAATAATTTGACATTATTCACACAAAATAAAATACATTAAGACAAATACACAAGGCCATTGACATTCCATTCTCACTTAAGATTAAACAATTTTTTCTCTCAACAGAATATTTAACATCTTCGCAACACTTAAAATAATCAACACATACGCCAGTCTTTAGTGTCAGTTCATGTGTCTCCAGTCTCCATACGTCTTGTGGAACCACGAGGGCCACTCTGGGCCGTAGTTGTCTCAAGGCCCCTGACTATCTCTTGGACGTCTTGGCCAGTTTGCTGGGGGTAGACCTCCTTTGAGGAGTGGGGATTTTGGTGGGCTTGCCTCCGTGCTGACGTGACGATGAGCGGGGTGTGGCCCGACTGGTGTCACCCACCATCTCTGACATGTCGGAGCACACCGATGCGATATCGGAGATGTCGAAGTCTGAAGCGTCACTTCCCCTCCGGCTGCTCCCTCGGCTACCTGCTTTACTTCCAGGTCGGCTGCCGGGTCGTCTCGATTCTGGGGGACAAAGGTTTCCGGTACGCTTATTGTCTGGTTACAGCAACTGGCAACTCTGATAGCAGAGCCGAAAAGCAAAGACGTTTAGCAGACAGAAAGCAGTCACTGCTTTTTCAAAAAGATGCACTACTCACCAAAGCCTATCGCCTGCCCCCGTGCTTTCATCACAGCAGCATTGATCAGGGTTCCCTGCTCTTCTCCCGACTGGAACCCTTTTCCTGACAAGTATCCAGGGAGCCGCAGTTTGCTTCCCTGTATCGGGGTGCTCTACAAAAGAGGCATTTTGCTGTTAAGAAACTAATAGCTACACAATGGGAAATCATAGAACAAGACAATACTATATGCTGTGGTTAAATTGATTATCTACTATAGTACATTGACTCTTATTAACATTGGCCATTATTCTCTAACTAGCATGTTACGCAATGTGGTATTCTGATGAAATCGGATGAAATCCCAGGGACTTCCAATGTAAGGGGTTATTGTGTTGAATGAAAAGTGACATGTAATGTATGATGTTTCATTAACAACCTAAACCTTTACAGCGGATTAACAGATAAACAGTTCAACATGCAACACAGAACAGCAGTTCTTAGTTTGAGTTAGTTAGAGAAGGAAATAGACTGTTTTTTACAGTCAACAGAGAGAATGACTCATGTTCCACCACG